GCTCTTCCCTCTGAAAGCTGCCAAGAGGGAAATTAACAAATAAATACCCGAGAGCCTTGTCGTTCTTCGAGTGAACGTGATTCTGCAGTACAAGGGTTAGCAGGCACCCTGCACGTGTTGACTGTAGAGACAGTGGTCGATCCGTTGGCTGAGCCAGCATCCCAGGACAGGACTCTCTAGCATGGAGTATTGTTAATCATGAGTCCTGCGTCTATCCTGAGAAATTAGTCGGAGGACAAAAATGTCAGCAGCTTCCCCTGGTCGGGGACCATTTGGGGAGAGGCTTCAATGTCTTGCCTAAATGCTTGGCTGTAAATTGTAAACGGTAAAGGGGGAGCTCACACTGTGTTTTAGGGTAACGTTTTGGCTGCTGGTGGGGCTGGATGGGGAGGTGGTCGCAGAAAAAGGAGAGAGATTGGGATATTGCACTTAACCAAAGAGAAGGGGGTGGAGAACTTGGTCCCTCCTCTGTCTGGAGAGGTCTGTAACAGAAGCCAGGAAGAGGGCAGAGGTCATCCTCAAGCAGTCTCACGTTTCAGCAGCTTTCAGCCTCTGATTGGCTGAAATACGATTGGGTCAGCTGCTGTGATTGGCTGAATCTCAATTGCTGTGATCTGGGTAGAGTTTGGGTTATAACTTGAGAATCAAGCTAGGTTGCAGTTTAATAAATGTGGTGACAGCTTTAGGCCAAATATATTACATAACTACAGAGGCCCTCCTAGGACAATTTTCTTTTTAAGAGATTTTTGCTGGGTTTGTGTGCTCCTGGGAGGAACAGAGAGACAGAAAGTGAGAAATCACCCCCCAAGGGGGATGGCCACTCCGCAATCCCTTGTCCTCCATTCTCCTCTTGGGATACACACACACACACACACACACACGCCCAGCATGAGTTTAAGCCACTGGTCCAGGACTCAAAGCAGTCGACTACGTAGGAGGCCAGCGATATAACTATTACACCACCTGCTGGTCCCCTAGGACAATTCATTTTAACAATGGTGACCATGGGGTATTAGGGAGGCAAACGTATTTTTAGATTTTTCAATAACCTGTCTTTCAATAACCTGTCTCTCCGACAAGGGGCTTTCCGTGACTTTTGGATTTGGGAACAGTGTCTTCTCATTCCAGGAGGGAGTGTCATAGCCACAGCTCTCCACAGCTCTCCGGAGCCCCAGGGACTGGGTCCTGCAAAAGGGGTTGGGAAGTTCTTTTTTTTTTTTTTTAATAATTATTTATTTATTCATTCATTTATTTTAATTTGACCAGAGAGAGACAGAAACGAGGTGGGGGTGGGGGGTGAGAAGGCAAGCCACCAGGTCTGGGACTCAAACCGTGGTCAGCCATGTGGGAATGTCCAGCACCTCAGCCACCAGCCACCTGCTGGTCCCCAAGGGGTGGGGAAGTTCTATCACAGGCAGGTTGCCAACATGTGGATAGGCTCCTGGGGACCTCTGGCTTCCGAGGGAGGGATTAGCTGGAGTGAAATGAATCTGACCTCATGGGGGAGGCGAGGCTCATTCCTTCAAAGGGCGTGGGCTAGGCCTTAGCAAGGAGCACTGGCCAGACAGCCTCCCCTCCCTCCATCCTGGGCGCTGGGCCCAGGCGCTGGGTTGGAGGCTGGGGCATTTCCTTTCTACTATTGTTTTCCAGGGAAGCCTCCCCTCTCAGCCTTGTGCCAGAAGAAGAGGAGAGAGAGGGCTTGAGCTGACTGCAGGCAGCCCAGGCCTTCCGATCCTAAATTTACTGTGCTGGGATCTGGAAGCACCTTTGACGCCCGGTTTCCCATGACCGCTCTTTGCAGCATCTGACGCTGGTGGATTGAAGTTCAGCAGAGCGGAGAGGGAGGGCGGGGAGGGAGTAAACGCAGCTGATTGGCTCGAAGTTCTCCGGAGCCATCCAATGGGCGGAGAGGGCGTGGCTGGGCTTCGGCCACCCGGGGCGCGAATCGCGCAGCAATTACAGCTCTTCTGCGTGTCCTGTCTCCTGATCCGCACCCCAGCCACCCCGTAGGTTTGCCCGCTACCCCCCGCCATGGGCTTGGAGCTCTACCTGGACCTGCTGTCCCAGCCCTGCCGCGCCGTCTACATCTTCGCCAAGAAGAACGGCATCCCCTTCGAGCTGCGCACCGTGGACCTTATGAAAGGTGGGCTTCGCAGGCGGGCCAGGGATCAGGGCCCACAGATGTGCCCCGACTTCTGCCCGACCTCTGCCTGTCGGCCTCGCGATCGTGCCGATAGACGGGAAACGGGAAACTCTCCCCAGTGGGAACCGTTGCATCAGTTATCGGTTGCGTATTTTTAAAGAGCTTTGATCTTCGCCTCGTGAATTCAAGACACTCCTAAAATGCAAGCTAACCGGGAGCGGCGCAGGTGCGGGGAGGAGGGGAGGGAATCGGGGCTCCGAGAAAAGCAACTAACCAGCTTCATTTCCTGCTTGGAGTAGCCCCTGTTTGCTGAGTTTTTGCATCTGCCTGCAGGACAGGGTTATTCTCCCTCTGACGTGGCAGGGGACTGGAGCCAGTGACCCTCTTCTCTGATGTCCCCCAGACAAGAGACTCAGAGAGCTGGAATTTGGGATGGGGAGTGGGTACAGGGCTCAGGGTTCTCCTCCCCACCCTCTCACTGATCTCTCCCACAGGCCAGCACCTCAGCGATGCTTTTGCCCAGGTGAACCCCCTGAGGAAGGTGCCAGCCTTGAAGGATGGAGACTTCACCTTAGCGGAGAGGTGATGGGTCCCCGGGTTGCTGTCCAACCGAGCCAGTCAGCCATCTGCGTATCTGCTCTTTAATCCTTCCTTCCTGCCTGCCTTTCAGGTTTACTTTTAATTTCTTTTCCTTTCCCGCCCCCTCAATGGCCGAAGGGCATGTGTTTTCACCAGAGGGGCAGGAGAGAGAGAGAACTCCCAGTGGGGTGTGGTCACGACACAATTCTTTCTCCTCCATTTCTCCATTCTCTTAGGATTTGGGGGCACTCAGCCACATGGACCTGGCATGTTTTTTAAGCTGCTAGCGCTGGGATTCAAACTGAGGCCACATGGGGTCCTGTTGCTTTAATTATCAGGCTGCAAGGCCCCATTTCTTCCGTCCTTTGTTAATTTGCTGTAGGTTTTGTTTTTGTTTTTGTTTTTTTTCTATAGGGTGCATGTGCTCGCTAGAGACACAGAGAGACAGAGAGACAGAAAGTGAGAAATCACCCCCACCCAGGGATGGCCACGCCGCAGACCCTTTGCCTCCATTCTCCTTTTTGGATTTTGGGGATGCTTGCACACGCGCCGGCATTGGTGTGAGTTTTAAGCCGAGGGTCCAGACTCTTAACTGCGGTTGGTCAACCTTGTAGGTGTCCAGTGATGTAACCACTACGCCATCTACAGAGAGACAGAAAGTGAGAAATCACCCCCACCCAGGGATGGCCACGCCGCAGACCCTTTGCCTCCATTCTCCTTTTTGGATTTTGGGGATGCTTGCACACGCGCCGGCATTGGTGTGAGTTTTAAGCCGAGGGTCCAGACTCTTAACTGCGGTTGGTCAACCTTGTAGGTGTCCAGTGATGTAACCACTACGCCATCTGCTGGTCCCAATTTTAAGCCGCGGGTCCAGACTCTAACTGCGGTAGGTCAACTTTGTAGGCGTCCAGTGATGTAACCACTACGCCATCTGCTGGTCCCAACCTGGCATGTTTTTTAAGCTATGAAGTCTGGGACTTGAACTGTGTGATTGGCTATATGGGATCCAACCACCTTAACCACTGTGCTACCGGCTGGTCCTATTTATTGCTTCTATGAGGGAGAGTGACAAAGAGACAGTACCCCCAACAGGGTGTTGACAACACTATCCACCCCCCGTCTTCAGCCAGCCCTGGCTCAGGGGTACACACGTGCCTGATATATTCAGGGACGTCTGTGGACTTGAGCCAGGACCTTCCCGTGTACAATTGCCGTACAGAGCATCACATTTCACGGTGGCGCCACGTCTAGGCCATGCGTGTCCACTCTTGACAGTGCGGATTATGGTTTATGTGCCCTGAGTGCTTGCCGGCTGAAGTGGGCAGAGTCCCCCAGGGCTGGAAGGGGCCATTGAAGTCACAGCTTCCCTGCTTCCTTCCTGCATTGTACAGATGAGGAAACTGAGGCCAGGAGAGGGGAGGGCCTGCACAAGGTCTCAGGGCCCAGCCTGCATCCAGGCCTCTTCACTGCCCACTCTGTCCTGCGAAGAAAGGAGAGCACCAAGTGAGCAGTAGCTGTACCGGGCACCCGAGAGCTGCCCCTTCTGCAGATCCTGTGGGCAAGCTCTGTCTCCCGGGATGTTGACAGAACACCCAGCAAGCGTCAGTGGCTGCTGGCTGAGCACCCGCCGGGACCAGGCCCTGTGGTTTGAGCAGCGAACATGTCTAAGCCTTTGTCCACATGAAATTCACATTCTAGATAGGAGAGCTGAGAGTCACCCACGTAAACATGTGACCTGTCAGATAGTGGTGACGCCGATAGAAAAAATAATTGTGGGTGCCCAGCAGATGGCATCATGGTTCTGTCGCTGGACTCCCACTCTCCCACTCGACTGTGGTTCGAGTCTTGATGGCTTAAAACTCACACCGTGTGCATGTGTGTGTGCATGCCCAAGATCCTGAGAGGAGAATGGAGGAGAAGGAATTGCAGCGTGACCATCCTCCCTGGGGGGTGATTTCTTACTTCCTGTCTCTCTCTCTCCCTCTCTCTGTGTCTCTCTGGTGAGTGCATACTTCCTACAGCAAAAATCTATTTAATAATAATAATAATAATAATTGTGAGAGTAGGGGCGGGTGTGATTTGGGGAAAGATGTTGAGGGAAGGCCCCCTTAGAGAGGTAGATCTGAACGGAACGGTAGGAATGGGGGTGCAAGGTGTGTGGAGAAAAGTGTTGAGGCTGGAGGGAGCAGCATGGGTAGAGCCCTGAGGTAGGTCAATTTTTGGGGTGCAAGCTCCAGGCCCAGTCCAAGGCGGCAGTGGTGGTGCAGGGTGGGGAGGCAAGCAGTTCTCAGTGCTCTCGAAAGTCGAAGCACAAGTTTGCTGCAGGGCTAGATGTGGCAGGGGGGAAATGGGAGCCAAAGCCGGCCTCCAGTTTGGTGGCTGTATGGTGGTATCTTTTACCGAAGCCATTAAAAGCCTCTGTGGTACAGTTAGATTCACATTGGTTTTTTATTTTTTTGGAGAGATTTTTGCTAGAGGGCGCATGCACTCGCCAGACAGGCAGAGAGAGACAGAGAGACAGAAAGCGAGAAATCACCCCCCAGGGGGGATGGTCATGCCGCAATCCCTTCTCCTCCATTCTCCTCTCGGGATCTTGGGCACGCACGCACATGCACCCAGCGTGAGTTTTAAGCCACTGGGTCCGGGATGCGAACCGCGGTGGACTATGTGGGAGTCCAGCGACATAGCCATTACACTAACTGCTGGTTCCCAGTTAGATTCACACTGGCAGCCATTCCAGAGCCTGTGGTCACCAGACAGCCCAACACCCACAGAGGCATGACGAGCTCTGGGGGTCAGGCTGCACAGGCCGGACATGATGGGCGAGATCGGGGAGGACTTCCTGCAGGAGGGGTGTGGAGAGGAGGTAGGATTCATGTCATCTGGGAGGCCTTCTGTCAGTCCCAGAAAATGGGGAGGGGACAGCTGCCCATGCTTTGGCTACATTAGGAAATGATCCCAAGTGGCTGTCATCCTTCAATACTCACTCGGGCTTCCCCCTCCTCCTGGAAGCCTTCCCCAGTCCTAGGCTCCTTCTGAAATCCTTGACGTTTTGTTTCTCCCTTGGTGCCCTGGGTTGGTGGCGATAGGATGGCCCAGCATAGTGCTGTGTGACCTTGGGCACTCTCCTTACCTCTCTGAGCCTCACATTCTTCTGCACCATGGGAATAGTGAACATGCCCCACAGAGTGGCTGAAGGGTGACCAAGCCGTGCCTTCTGCCCTTCCCTGTCCCCAGTGTGGCCATCCTGTTGTATCTGAGCCGCAAGTACAAGGCCCCTGACCACTGGTACCCCCAGGACCTGCAGGCCCGCGCCCGGGTGGACGAGTACCTGTCCTGGCAGCACACGGCCCTGCGAGTGAGCTGCACCCGGGCCCTGTGGCAGAAGGTGAGTCACCACTAGAGACACCTCCCGGGCCACTCAGGGAGAACACTTTCTTGGCTGTTAAAAACAATTCCTTTCAGGACCAGAAGGTGGCACGATGATTAAGGTGGCCGGATTCCACTTGGCTGACCTGGCAGTTCGAGTCCTGGTCCCAGCAGCTTGAGAAACACGTGGGTGTATGTGCATGCATGTCCCAAATCTGAAAGGAGAGTGGAGGAGAAGGGATTGCGGCATGGCCATCTCCCACGGGTGTACTTTCTTGCCTTTCATCCCTCCCTCCTTTCGTCTCTCTCCAGCAAGTGCGCATGCCCTCTATCAAATTAAAAAAATAGAGAGAATTTATTTCTTTTTAAAGAGGTGTTTGCCTTAGGGCGCATGCTCTTGCCAGAGGGAGAGAAAGAGACCTACACAGTGACATACACAGTGAAAGAGAAAGTGAGAAGTCATGCCCTGGGGGGATGGCCATGTTGCAATCCATTCTCCTCCTGGGATCTTAGACACACACGTACCTGCCCCCAGAGTGAGTTTCAAGCCACCGGGTCCAGGGTTCAAACTGTGGTTGGCCATGTGGGAGTTCAGCAATGAAACCCCTATCCTATCTGCTGGCCCTAAAAAACAAAAAGCATTTCGAGACCAGCAGATAGCATAATGGTTATATATCACTGGACTCCCACGTGGCTGACTGCCGTTCGAGTCCTGAACCCAGAGGCTTGACACTCATGCAGAGTGTGTGTGTGTGTGTGTGTGTGCGTGCATGTGTGTGTGCGTGCCCAAAATCCCGAGAGGGGAATGGAGGAGAAGGGATTATGGTGTGGTCATCTCTCCTGGGAGGTGATTTCTTGCTTTCTGTTTGTCTCTCCATTGAACGTACACATCCTGTAGCAAAACAAAAACAAAAACAAAAACAAAAACAAAAAAACAACAAAAAACTCTCTTAAAATTATTTTTCTTTCTGATCTTAGACCTTAGAACACCAAGTCCTGGAAGGTCATAGATAACCTAATCTAACCAACTTGTTTCTCAGAGGACAAACCAATGTACAGAGCCAGGGAGTGGTTCTGCCCACGTACTTTGATTCCTGAGCTACGAGCAGTTCCTCCTACGCTCTTTTTTTTGGGGGGGAGAGGTTTTTGCTATAGGGCGCGTGCACTCGTCAGAAAGACAGAGAGAAACAGAGAGACAGAAAGCGAGAAATCACCCCCCCCCCCAGGGGGATGGCCACGCCTCAATCCCTTCTCCTCCATTCTCCTCTTGGGATCTTGGGCATGCACGCACATGTGCCTGGCATGAGTTTAAGCCACTGGGTCCGGGACTCTAACCGCGGTCGACTACATGGGAGTCCAGCGACATAGCCATTACGCCAACTGCTGGTCCCCTCCTACGCTCTTTTACACCCTCCAGGGTTCCTGAGAATATTGCCTTTTGGAGGAGAAAACAGCAACAACAAATTCCCTCTTTTTCTGTACACATAATTCCCACATGGAGAGGTTTCAGTGAAGAAAGTCAAAACTTGGAAGGAGACATTTCAGCAAATGTTTAATTTCTGGATGGGGACAGACTGTCTAAGCCTAAGAACAATGGAAGAACTCAACAAAAAAAGATTAATAGAGTTTACGTATACGATTAACTTTGCATAGGAAGAAAAAGTTAAGTCTAAAACAAGCAAAACACTGGGAAAGACCATGGGAAAGATATGTTAGGAAGAAGTAAGATTTTAAAAAATATTGCTGTAAGGTATATGTGTTTACTGGAGAGAGAGACACACAGAGAGAGAGAGAGACAGAGAGAGGGAAGAAGTGAGAAAGCACCCCTGGGTGGGATGGCCACACCGCTATCCCTTCTCCTCCATTTCTCCATCTTGCTGGGGTTTGGGGCATGCATGCATGGATGTGTCTGGTATGTATTTCAAGCTACCAGTTGACCATTGGCCATGTGGGAGCTGGTGCCCTTAACCACTAGACTATGGGGCCAGCCTGAGATTCTGCCCTTTTTAAAAATGTTAGTTTTAGTTTTGTCATAGAGTGTATGTGCTCTCAGAAAGACAGAGAGATAGGGGCCAGCAGGTGGCATGCTAGTTAAGATGCTGGATTCCCACATGGCTGGCCGCAGTTCAAGTCCCAGACCTGGTGGCGTTCTTTCTCACTATCACTCTCCCTCTCTCTCTCAATCTGTCTCTTTCTGGTCAAACAGAAGAAGAAGAAGAAGAAGAAGAAGAAGAAGAAGAAGAAGAAGAAGAAGAAGAAGAAGAAGAAGAAGAAGAAGAAGAAGAAGAAGAAGAAGAAGAAGAAGAAGAAGAAGAAGAAGAAGAAGAAGAAGAAGAAGAAGAAGAAGAAATAAAATTAAATAATTTTAAAAATAAAAATTATATTAAAAATAAAAAGAAAGACAGAGAGATAGGGGAAGTCAGAAATCACCTCCAAAAAGGAATGGCCATGTTGCAATCCCTTTTCCCTCCATTTTTCTCTCAAGACTTGGGGCACCCATGCATAGGCACCCAGTGTATTTCTTTTCTTTTTTTTTTTTTTTGAGAGATTTTTTTTGCTATAGAGCGTGTGCACTCGCCAGACAGAGAGAGACATAGAGGCAGAAAGCGGGGAATAA